CTGCTTCTCCCTCTTACCCTCCCCCCTCTCATGCTCTCTCTCTATCTCATTCTCTCTCAAATAAATAAATAAAATCTTTAAAAAAAAAAAAAAAAACAACTGTCAATCCTTTCCCTAGAATATCGGTATTTTAACTTTATCAGAAACGTGTGCTTCCTCCAAGTCCCTAACTTTGGGGATAAATCCCAATTAGTGATGCTTTAAAATCATATAATGATATTTATAGCAGCATTATTCACAATAGCCAAGATATGGAAGCAGCTCACACGTCCACTGATGGATAGATGGATAAAGAAGATGTGGTGTATATTTATACAATGGAATATTATTCAGCCATAAAAAAGAATGAAACTTGCCATTTGCAACAACATGGATGGAGTTAGAGAGTATAATACCAAGTGAAATAAGTCAGTTGGAGAAAGACAAATACCATATGACCTCACTTATATGTAGAATTTAAGAAACAAAACAAACAAGCAAAGGGGAAAAAAAGAGAGAGACAAACCAAGAAACAGACTTTTATCTATACAGAACAAGAGGGCAGGCAGGTGGGGGGATGGGGACTAAGGAGTGCACTTGTCGTGATGAGCACCGGGTGATACATGGAAGTGTTGAATCACTATGTTGTACACCTGACACTAATATGTTAACTAATTGGAATTAAAATAAAAACTTAAAAAGTAAAAAAACAAAAAACACCCAACAACATATAATGAGTAAGCTGGGAGAGACCGTCCTGAGTGAAGTATAATCCTCTCGTTTTACAAAGAAGAGCATGGAGCCCAGGGAGGGGAAGTGACTATCTCAAGATGATATAGACATTAGAGGCCTGTCCCCCTGGTCCCTAGCTAGGCAGGGCTCCTGCATCTTTACTAAGGTTTTTCTTTAGTAAATACCCACCTACTGATAGACTGTTACCATTAGAAGTGTTCTCTAAAAAATCAGCTCAAAAAGTACCCAGCACAGGTGCTACTCACTGAAGAGTCTCACCACCGTTTCAGCTTCTAAAGAACGCCAGGATTCTTTGAGGATTGAGTGGCCTTTGAGTCACCAGCCACACCATTTTCATCAATAGGCTGGATCAAGGTGTTGACCTTTCAGGATCTTTCGCCTATAACACCTTCTCTTAAGTTTTGAATCTCACTTTTTTTAATGAAAGAGGCTTCCTGGAAGCAGAATGGCCAGATGGGAAGACCAGGGCCCCAGGGCCAATTCACCTGGATTGTAGTCTGGGCCCTGTGGAGTACCAGGTAGGTAGGTGACCTTGAAAGAATGGCTTACCTTCTCTGGCCTTCAGTGCTCCCGCTTGAAAAATGGAATCCACCTGTGTGCCTAGATGGTTGTAAGAACGATATCATATGAGATTGGAAAATTCTTGGGAAAGAATGAAATGTTCAATCAACAACTAATTCCTCAATGTCTACCATAGTCCAGACTCTATGTCAAGCGCAAGAATACAAACATGAATAAGACAGAATCCACACCCTTGAGGAATTCATGGTTCAGTGGGGAAGACAGACTCAATAATCACTATATCTTGCTCTGTAGCCACTCTGATGGGCAGGGTGGGGGGCGGGGGGAGCAGTGGATGCCGTGGAAGCAGAGGGACAGCACCTATCCCACATTTGCAGAGAGTAAGTTAGCAAGCCTTCCTGGAGGAGGTGATATTTGGATTTAGACAATTTCAACAATACCACAATCCCCACCACTGCCACTGTCATCACCGGCTGCCATTTATTCAGTATTCATTCTGGTCTGAGGATTCTGCTGGGCCATTAGTAGTTCATGTTCATAATCCAGAAAGTCAAGGTTGTTATCCTCATTAGACATATGATAAAACAGAAGCCCAAAGGGTTTCATTTTTTTTTTTAAAGATTTTATTTATTTATTTGACAGAGAGAGACACACAGAGAGAGGGAACACAAGCAGGGGGAGTGGGAGAGGGAGAAGCAGGCTTCCCGCAGAGCAGCGAGCCTGATGCGGGGCTCAATCCCAGCACCCAGGACCATGACCTGAGCTGAAGGCAGACGCTTAATGACTGAGCCACCCAGGCGCCCCCAAAGGGGTTTTTTAAAAAGAAATTTAAAAAGGTCACCAATCAAAATTTAAACCTAACTGTGACTTCCAAAGCTCCTGGTCTTCACAACATAGCCTCATGGTTCTGAGTGACTCTATGAGGCAAAGATGAGACTAGTGCAGGAAATCACTGGGAAGACAATTTCAGCTAAAGAGAAGGAAGAGTTTTCTAGCAGGGCTGTCCAAGAATGAGATAAGCTGCCTGGGGAGGTGGTGAGTACCAGGTCATAGAAGTATCATGGAGCAAGCTAGTGACTTGGCTAAGGGATTGCTTAGGGCATTCTTAATTGAAGGCAGAGGAGAGGGAGGTAAGCTAACCATCTCTAAAGTTACGGTCATTTGTGATTAAGTCCTGTTGTTAACAATAGCGTTCCATTCCAAATTTTTAGATGCTCAGTAGAAGCTCAAAGAGCTCTGTGGGCATAGCACCCAGACCAGTGGTTCCATCTGCTTGGTGACCAGCCACTAGGGTTTAATATAAATTAGCCTACAGAGCTGCATGGTTAGTGATGCTTTCTGTTTTTTTGTTTGTTTGTTTGTTTGTTTGTTTATTCAGTGATGCTTTCTGTTAAAGGAACAAGGACTAGCTCCAGCCACTGAAGCAAAAAGGGAATTTATAGGAAGGGCCACATTTGGAAAACAAACAAATTAACAGAATAGCTATGGAGGGTGAAAGTTGGCTGCTGGCAGGGATAACTACCCCTATTCAATGGTAGCATGTCTGTACACCTGACTCCCAACCTTATATCACCTGGGCCAACTTTAAGTCCTGGAGGGAAGCGACTGTTGCCTGAGTCTGGTTTCCTGTTGCTGTGGCTGGCAGGTCACAAAGAGGGAGCATCTGGCCCATCTGTCTTCTGTGGTGGAAGAAAAGGCACCACCATAGTCTCATCATCTGTAATGATGGAGGAGCAAACTCTCCCCAACACTGTCCCCTCTAATCACAGGGTTAGATGTTGGGCATTCTCCAAAGAAAATGGGTAAATGCCTACTACATCAGGAGGGATCAGACAGTGGTTATGAATTCTGATCTGCCTGACTCCCAGACTGGAGGAAAAGATAGAGGGCAGGATGCACCTAGTGTGTTGGAGGAACAATGAGGAGTCCAGCATCTGGCACAGAAGAAGCAAGAGGGATGGTGGTAGGAGCTGAGGTCAGAGAAGTTAGCAGGGAAGGACCACATGGGGACTTGTAGCTTGTAAGGGGTTTTACTCTGCATCTAACAGGGACCATCTGAGTGTGAAAGGGACATCATCTGACTTGTGTTTTAGAGGATCACCCTGGATGCTATGTGGAAAATGGGGGTGGGGAAGAAGATGGGATGAGAGGTGGGCTGGGAGGATGCCAGGGTGGAAATAAGACCAGGTAAGAGACTGTCACAATACTCAGAACCTTGGTCTGAGCTCAAGGTGATATCGTGGAGCTGATAAAAGGGTGTTGGGTTCTGAATACCTTTTGAAGGTAGAAACAATGGATGAGCTGTGGGTGCGAGACAGAGAGGAATAATATGGACACCAGTGACTTCAGCCTGAGCACTTCTCTCTACTGCCCTGTATGAGAGATATACATGTGTCTGTGGTCTCAGAGCATGGATACTGAAGTCAGACTTCTCCACAGAAATATTTGAACCTCTCTGTGATTCAACTTCTTATATAAAGTAGGAATTGTAATAGTAGTGACTTCATAGGGTTTTGTTGAAAGCATTGAGTGAATTAATATATATAAAATGTTTAGAACTGTTTCTGGCAAAAAATAAATGCTAGGTAGGTGAGACAGGGACTGCTCCTACTCCTAGCTGTATTTTGATAAGTGACAAGTTTGGCTTGTCCTGTTCATACTGACTCTGACTCCGGGTACTACCTAGGTGCTCTCTGATGGGGTTTGACCTGAACCGTCACTGGCTGGATCCCTCTCCGTGGGCCCACCCTACCCTGCATGGAGTGAAACAGCTCATCATCCGGATGTACAATGACCCAGTGAGTAACCAAACCCCTTCAGCACCTGCTGGTTTTATGGCTTATTTGGGAAAGGGCAGTGTTGTACTGGGAAATTCCAGTAGGAGCTACAAATTAGGAGTGCAGTGCAGGGTCAAAACCAGGATGGGTATGAGGCCTGCTGGTCTTATCTTTAAATTGGATAGACCCAAATACCTTCCCCCACCTCTCACAAATATCTTGTTCAGTTGAGTTCAGGAGGTCTTGTGGGATAAAGGAAATATAGTGAAGCAGATTCATAGGGTTCTTTGGCTATAAGCAAAAGAAATACAATTTGAACTAGTTTAAGCAAAATAGAGAATTTATTACGAGAGTACCAGTGTATCTCACATAACTAAAGTCACATCTGTTGGCTCCATCCCTGGAGAGTGATCCACTCTCATTTTCTAGTTCCAGTTCCAAAAGACTGTGACTGGCCTAGCCTGGGGGATATGCCACCTCTGGGCAAGTCAACTCTGGCCCCATAGGCAAGGATATGTAAGGACAGAACAGCACACTGGAACCACATGGCTGGACTTGAGGGCTGTGGTGGCCGTGGTGAACCTATTCCCAGAGAAGAGGGCCTGCTAGTCCAGAAAGAAGGGGAACAATGGGTTTCCATACTGAGTTTGCTCATAGGGGCAAGACTTTGTAAGAAACAGGAGACGACATGGGGGTTTCATAGGTTAGAGAAAGGAAGCAGACCACTATCATTCTATCCCTAAAGAGCTATCAGAGAGGACAGGACAGACATCTCCTGGGTGGAGGCCAAAGGAGGAGGTAAGGTCTATAGAGAAATAGAACTTTTTAACAATTAGCTCTACCTAAAATGGAGTGGATGTAGGAGCTATGAACTTTGCTTTACTAAAAGTGTTCACCTTGAAGCTAAATGACACTATCAAAATGGTGCATAGAGGAGATTCAATTGTTTGGAAGACACTGGAGTGAGATGACATCTGAGTCTCTTCTAACTTTGATGACTGTTATTTCATGGCCCCTTGACTGCCATAGCCCCGACATTTTTTCTGATCTAGCTGATAATAAATATTCACTAAACTATTGGTTGAACTGGATTGGATGGCAAATCCTGTTATGCCAACTGTAATACGGTTTATAGACAGAAAACAGTTATTCATAGAGAGGACAATGAGGCATGATTAAAAAAAAAAGACACAGGATAGGAGAAGTGATAGAGTGGGAGTTCCTGAAAAAGGGGGTGTTTTAGATGAATCCCTGAGGAGAGAACTGGGGGGTGAGGCATGGAGGAGGACCCAAAGGGAAGGGTTAGGTTTGCTGAAGAGAAGAGGCTTCAGCCTGCCATTGCTGTCATCACTGAGAAGTCATTGATTTGCTCACAAACAACTGGGCACTCATCCACGTTACAAAACATAGAACAGCCAAGACTGAGGGACAGAGAGATTTAGACACTTTTTGTGCCATAAATAGGTTGCTCATCAGCTGGTTGGATCTTAGTAAACACACTTGGATGCTGAGCTTGTTGCCTAAACTGTATTCTTCCTGAAAGTCCACTCCTTTAAGACCCAAGCACATGGAGCACTAACATGGTAGTCAAGCTGACCACGGGAGTCAAGGATCTCAGCTCCCTCCATCTCTTGTCTCTTCCCCACTCCCCATCTCCTTGCCCAGGCTTTTACTCCAGTCTTGCCTTCCTTCTTTCCACAAGTATTTATCAAGTAGTTTCTATATACTAGGCACTGAGATTTTTTTCTACTAGTGAACAAAACCCTAACCCTTGCAATTTGTGGGGGAATAGACAATAAATAAGTAAATACTGATATAGATTTACAAATTGTGTGTAGAGTTACGGGGGGCGGGGGGCAAGGAAGCACACAAACTGTGACCTGTGGGTAGGATGGTTGTAAATTTTGGCTTGCCTGGGGCAGCTCCCATTTATACCTGTTGTCCTAGAGTATTTATTAATAGTGCCCCCTTTCACTCTTAGAAGTGTCCCAGTTTAGATGATAAATTATACCGTAGCTCTACTTAAAAGCTATCAGAAAGCACCTAGCACAGTACCTGGCGTGTAGCAGATCCTCAACAAACATTATTTGGATTGGATTCGAAGTCACATTTGACTGTAAGAGTCATTGTGTCCAGTTGCAGACACTACAGTGCCCAAGGGCATCTGCCCTAATATCCTGACATGCTTTCTCCTCCTGACCTCCGCTGTTGTGTACGTCATCACAGTCACTCAAGCCAGAGCTATGTGAACTGCCAGGACAGCCTCTGGCCTCATTTCTAAATGCTCACAGCCTCACTCCTCCATCCCAGTGGCCTTCTGCTTGACAGAGTCAGCAAGCAGAGAATCAGCAGACCCTCACTGGTGGACAGGGACTATGTCCTTGAGCATTGTCGTTCCTCACTGAACTCCTTTGGGTTATGTGCTGGATGCTGGGAGTCATCAGAGCTGCTGTCCACCCCTAAGGAGGTCACAGCCTGGTGGAGATAGGCATTTACAGGCAGTTATCCCAGGTGCATTTGTGGAGGAAGGCACAGGGGCTCTGGGAGCCCATAGAAGGGACCCAGGCCAGGAGGCCATACCTGAGCTGATGCATGAAAGATTCCCAGGGCAGGGAGGGCTTTCCAGGCAGAGGAGACCTCTGTGCACCTGCCTTGAGAGGGAGGCACCCTCGGGAGACTGCCAAATCATTCAGTGTGGCCGGTACTGGGGGCAGACAGAGGGGCAGAGGGGGTTACGATACAGGGTGAAATTTGGACTTCATTCTCACGGGAATGGGGAGCATGGAAGGATTTTAAGCTGGGAAGTGACAGGATCAGGTTTGCATTTCAGAAAGAAACCAAACTAAGAAACCAGAACCCTCTGGTTCCTGTAAGGGGGTGGATTTGGAGGGTGCCAGGCTAGAGGCTGGAGACCAGTAGAGCCTGCTGCTGTGGGGTTGGAGAGGCATTATGGAGGGAGCTGTGGGCAGCTTAGTGACTGGCTCATGGGACAGGAAGGAGTTTTGAATGACACCCATGGTTTGGCCTGGACAGCGGAGTAGATAGATGTGGTTGCCCTTCCTGAGATGGGAACTCAGGAGAGGCAGTGAGCCTGGGAATAAGCTTAGACATGCTGACTTTGAAGTTGAGCAAAAGTGATATGTCCAACCTGCACTGTAAGTCCGGGGCATGAGCCCTTCTGTGTTCTCACCTGGCAACAGGAGCCTGCTGTCCTGTGTTAATGATGGCATTTACTTCAAAGGCTGCTTTCTAGACCTTTGCTCACTAAACCTTGCCACCTCTCTGGGCCTTGGAAACAGAATGATGATCTTGACCAGGGACTGTTCTACCCAGAGGACTACACCGGATCTTAGATATGAAGTGTTTTATGCCCCACTCCTGGGACAGCTCCCTGTGGACAGAGTGGCCTTTGTTTACCAGTTGTGATGGACTGTCCCTAGGCAGGGTCTGGTTGATGCATCTCAGAGTCCTCCATGCCCAGCAGGGACCTGGCTCTGAGCAGGTGCTCAGAATAAAGGCTAAGCAAATGATGAAGTAAAACAGAGCCTCTGTGAGTTGCTTTCAATGAGATTTCCCTGATGAAGAGGAGCGACCGGACCACATACCTCTCCGCAATCTCCGCTCTCCCTGAGAGTGTCCAAATGCTGGTGCCATCCTCGCTGGTCCCTCTTTTACTTCAGGCTCTGGTCTGTGGACATAAACCCTCTCTTGGGTTCCCCTGCAGCCTGCTGAGATTGTCCTCCACTCCCAGGGACAGAACCTGAGACGGCATCACCCACTCTGGTTCCCCTGACCCAGGTTCCTGGTCATCTTCACTGATGTGCCCCATTCCTGGCCTCGGTGCCCACACCGTTCTACCCACCACTGAGCTTAGCCCTCTCTGGCCACCAGGAGCTCCCTCAGATCCCTGGGTCCCTGACTTCCCACCATCCAAGCACGTTTTGTTCAGGAGCTGCTCTTAGACATTCCATTACCTCCAATGGTGAAGACCAGGGAAGCCAGTTCCAACTCTGCTCCACATCCAGGCTTCTCCTTCCCATTCTGATCTTAGGGCTGAGTATTCTACCTCTTCCCCAGGTAATTAGCCCCCAGAATGACAGCACCTTTCAGGTGAGAGCTCATGCCCTACCCATGGGAGTTTGGCTTTATCCTGGCACACACGCCATAGAGTATGATGGTGACTTCACATCCCACCATCAGCCACACAACCAGAGTCACTCACACACAAGAGCACACATGGGGACCTCCTCTCTCACCTATGTCGGGTTACAATCTTAAAAAGTTAAGCCCATTTATGGATGGGCTTCCTAGGACCACCCATCTGTAAGTCTTCTAGCACCTAACTATCTGCCTGAGAGGCACACCCAGAGAAGTATTTGGCAGAGATAAAAAAGAAGGTGTTGCTTTAAAATGCTCAGTTAATTGAATGAAGCACACATTTCTCAATATCCATTTGCAAGACCCTCCATAACCTCCAGAATTATAGAGATTAATGGGGCAGGATCTCAGGCTAGGAAGAACTCACAGTCCAATAGGAAGGCCAGACCTTTATGAACAATTTTCAACCAAAGCAGCCAGGAAGGTGTGCTGTAGTAGAGAAAATGTAATGCTTTGGAAATACGGGGCTGGGAGACATTAATCGTGTGTGTGTGTGTGTGTGTGTGTGTGTGTGTGTATCTGAGGAAGTTTTCTCAAAGACTTTGGACTGAGCCTCTAGAAATGGGTAATAGTTCATCCGGAGGCTAAGGTTTAGGGATGAGGGAGGTTACAGGGAGAGGGGAGAGGGAAATCCAGGGAGAGCTGAGCAGTGGAATGGAGGTGAGAGGCCTCAGCTGCTGGGGCTGGTGTGCAGGATTCACAACAGGCAGCTACAAGAGGGCGGCCCGAGAAGCAGATGTGAAGAAGCTCATGGGTGAGTTTGAACATGGAGTCAAGGAATTTGGCTTCTTCCTATGGCCCAATGCTCTCTTCTCATTAAAATCAAAGTCTTGGGCTATCTGCGTGGCTTAGTCGGTTAAGTG